CAGTGCCAGATTGGGACGGAGCCAGCTAAGCCCTTTGGAAGTAAAGTCCCGGTTGTTGGACCCGGAACTGCAGGATTTGGTGTCTGTCCTTCTGGGTCTTGGTCTTGTTTTGGTCCTAATATCCTCAGTATGCCTCTATCCCTCCTTACTAGAATGGGAGTGTGTATTCAGTTTCATTGAAGTTGAGATTATGTAAGTTCTCTTTTGATGTTACAGGGCTTACAGTTAAGAGATTGCCTTGAGTCGTAGAAGAGACATTGAACTGTGGACTTTTGAATACTATTGAGACTGTTGAAGATTATGGGGGCTTAAGGTTGGACTAAATGTATTTTGCATTTTATATAGCCATGAGCCTATGGGGGTCAGGGAGTGGAATGTGGTGGTTTGAATGAGAATGCTCCCCATAGGCTCAAGTCTTTGAACACTTGGTCAGTTGGTGGCACTGTTTAGGGAAGGTCAAGAAATCTTTATCTTTTTATTTTTTATTACTTTTATGTGTATTTATGTTTTGCTTACATGTATGTAACTTCACCCATGCATGCAATGCCCCTGGAGGCCAGAAGAGGGAATGGAAGTTATAGTCAGTTGTTAGCCACCACATGAGTGCTGGGAATAGAACCCAGGTCCTCTGCAAGACCAGCCACTGATCTTAACCACTGAGCCATCTCTCCAGTCCTGAAAGTCATGGAATCTTTGGGAAGTGCGGCCTTGTTGGCGAAAGAAAGTCACTGGGGGGGGGGGTCATAGCCTTGTCCCATTTGCAGTTTCTCCGTCTCTGTTTCTCTCTCTCTCTCTCTCTCTCTCTATCTATCTATCTCTCTCTATCTCTCCTTCTTGTGTGTGTTTGAAGATGTGAGTGAACAGCTTTCTGTCCCAACAACCTCTGTCATCATGCCTCCGTGTTGTGATGGACACTATTCTCTCCAGAACCCAAAGCCCAAATAAACTTCAAAAAAAATCGATCATCATACCTCAATGACTTATCAACTTTACACACAATTATATGACTTTTCAGCCATAAACTTCCACCTCTTATCCTCATAGGTTTATGACCATCTCATAAGGAAAATGTGTCCAACCCATCTTTGAAGACTCCCACAGTCTTTTATAGTTTCAAAAGTTTTTAAAAGTCCAAGTCAAAGTCATATGTGAGACTCAAGGCAAGCTCTTACTTTTCAACTCCTTAAAATAAAAACAAGTCACATAGTTGCTATGGCATAGAACAGGATAAACATTCCCACTCTAAAAAGGAACAATTGCAGTCTAGTAAGGAATGACCAGACTTAGACATGATGAAAGTCAGCAGGGCAAACATGAAATTCTGCAAGGCACCAGCTGGCATCTGGCTTATGATGGAATCATCATGGCTCAAAGGGCTTAGGCAGCCACTTCCCTTTAGTTACTGCCTGAAACACACACTTCTCAGTGGACTCGGCTCCACACCATGCCACAATTTCCCTTAGCAAATATCACATGATCCTGGCATGTCCAACATGCTCTCACTCTTTCATAGCTCCACACAGTGGATTCTCTTTGTGAGGATTCAGGCCCTGCCATACATTGCCTGGCAGGATCACCCCACCTGAATTATGGTGCAAATCTCAATGATGTCTTTAATAGTATATCTTAAATGCCTGCAAAACAGTAGCATGTAGATGATACAGCCAAGCTCTGACTCCAGATCAGAAGGATTCTTGGTCCACTTGGACCATAGTGGCATTGGGCTATGAAGGCTGACCCAGGAAACCACTTCCCAAGGCAATTACTTTCAAGGAATGGGGAACCAATTCAGCATCATCCTAAATTACACTCTCTCTTCCCATGTGAATTTGCCCTCATACGGTAAACCCCTTAAAGGTGTTCTCCGCCTCAGGCATTGCTTCTCTTGTCTCTAATTCCGTATGTACTGACTGATCACAGTGCAGCCATGGCCTCATGCCAGAGGGATGCAGTAACCACTGAGGGATGAAAAGTTCACACCCCACCCCCACCCCTTAGTCTTACTTCGTCCAAACCAAGCTTTGAGAAGGCAGCACTCTCAGTCACGGTCATTCTAGGGAGTCACACTGCACAGTGACTCTGCCATCACTTCCCACTAAGGAGCAGGGAGAAGACTCAGACTTCGATATTGCTGCTAGACTCGCTGTGGGGTTCACACGGTGCAACAATGCAGAATGAACCCAGCAGAGGTAAAGCACCCACAGGGCAGAGTCCTGCAGAGTCACTCTCGGGTTCCTGGTGTCCTCTTCCAGTGGAGTCCGAAGGACAGTCGTTAAGTTTCTATTGGCACATGTATAGAGTAGTATTGCCAATCGGAGATCACCCTGTCCCATGATAGTCAGAAACTGACTTCTAGCTTGACTTTTTAGACAGTCAAGCACTTGAGCACTTGAGAAAATTCCAAGAAGCTGGATGCCTGGCAAGTCACATTGATTCTGACCGACCATTAGAATTGTTCACGTAGACCAAGAGCATGAATCAAGGCCAAAGGGAAACAAACAGTACTATCAGGTGGAAGTTTACCAGAGTGCCCTGGCAATCTCCCAGAGGTGGTAACAGGCTAGGCAATACTTTACAAGGTACAGGGTGTGACATCCCAGACATGCTAGTGCACTTTCCCTCACTGGGGATCATTAGCCAGAAGGCAGGTAAATCAGGCCTGATCGAGCACTCCTGACCCATGCTGGTGTCCTGGCTCCTGGGCAGTGTGGACTTTTGGCCACACTATAGGACGCCACAGGGATTCCCCGCCTGGATTCTGCTGCGACCCTTGGGTCTTTGATCTTTGTAAGTTTGGATCTGCAGCAAGGACAGGGACATCTGTCTTTAATGAGCCTAGCAAGGAGCACTGAGTGGCCTGTCAGTGACCAGCAGTGCCTGGTCCTTAAGGCCAATAGCTGGAAGGCTCCGGGCTCCTTTTCCTGCTTCCTCATGGCTGGCCCATCCTAACCTAGGCCTCTGGGCCGGAGACAACACAGTCCTTCATCCCTGGTAAGAAGAATGTTGGGAGAGGACTTGACCCAGCAAGGAAAAGAGTAAATGAAGGACAGCGGCCTCCAGGGGACAGTACCTGGTCTGACCTGCCAGCCTCCCCGTGATTCTCTGACAGTTTCAGGCTGAGTGTTTCCCAGCACTCTCATCTACATCTGTGGGGACCCGGACTGTGAGATCTGCCTGATCAAACCTGTACCCAAAATTCCATGCGCTCCAGCTGCCTGCCTCTCTCAGCCTCTCACTCAACAGTCGTTAAGTATCTATTGGCACATGTATAGAGTAGTATTGCCAATCGGAGATCACCCTGTCCCATGATAGTCAGAAACCGAGTTCCAGCTTGATTTTTTGGACAGCTGAGCACTTGTGCACTTGAGATTAACTCGTAGAAGCTGGATGCCGTTGTGTGTCTGACGCCCCAAACCTGCTGATACACTTTCCCTCACTGGGCTCATTAGCACAACGGCAGGTAAATCAGGCCTGACTTGGCACACCCCACGGTGGGGGCCAGCACCAGTCATCACCGCTCCTTCAATTTCATGACTTTACACACGGCACTCCTGAAAGGTGGGAAACTGAGGGAGGGCAGGAAATGTGCCAGTATTAACATACACAGTTAGCCATCAGGCATCAGAAGATGCCCTGGGAGTGCCCCATGTCGGCCCAGGGGGCAGCCACCCTCCTGAGCCTCTCAGTGAGCAGAGCACAGCTGTCCCCCTCCCCTCACCCCTGACCCATGTGGAGTTTCCTTTCAGGCCTGGATTGAGCTAGAAGAAACCATTATGCACCCCAACCTAGCGTGCCACCCTTCCATTACTGGATTCAGTAGGGCCAACAGGCATGGAGAGGCAGGGTGTGAGGCCGGGGGCTGCATGCCAGCACCAGTCAGTGAGTCATGCCTCCTTCTCTGGGAAGGAGACAGCATGGGAAACACAGGGGAAGAGAACAGCTCCTAGTCCTGGCTCTCCTGCTGCACTGTGTGGTCCTGAGCTCCTCTCCACCACCCTTCAGCCACACCACACGACATCATAGGGATTCCTCGCCTGGATTCTGTGGCAGCCCTTGAGTCTTTGATTTTGTAAGTTTGGATCTCCAGCAAGGACGGGGACCTCTGACTGTTGAGCCTAGCAAGGAGCACTGAGTGGCCTGTCAGTGACCAGCAGTGCCTGGTCCTTAAGGCCAATAGCTGGAAGGCTCCGGGCTCCTTTTCCTGCTTCCTCATGGCTGGCCCATCCTAACCTAGGCCTCTGGGCCGGAGACAACACCATCCTTCATCCCTGGTAAGAAGAATGTTGGGAGAGGACTTGACCCAGCAAGGAAAAGAGTAAATGAAGGACAGCGGCCTCCAGGGGACAGTACCTGGTCCGACCTGCCAGCCTCCCCGTGATTCTCTGACAGTTTCAGGCTGAGTGTTTCCCAGCACTCTCATCTACATCTGTGGGGACCCGGACTGTGAGATCTGCCTGATCAAACCTGTACCCAAAATTCCATGCGCTCCAGCTGCCTGCCTCTCTCAGCCTCTCACTCACACACAAGCCATTGAGTGGCACTTGTTGCCAGAACAAGGTTTCTTGGCCTTAAGTTCCGGTGAGTCCCTCAGGCCCTGCCAAAAAGTGGCATATGAGGCCTCAAGGAAGGACTGATCTCAGTCTGAGGCAATGTCTTCAAGACCCTCAAAGCTCTACCTACATGGCATGTCAACTGACTGTCCCTTCTGAAACTCATGGCTGTAAATGTTGGAACAGAGGTCACTGGACACCTTCTTTCCATGTTTCCTGAGCCCAGCATGACATGGCCACTATGTACAGGTTCTGTGGAGCTCGGCTTCCAGATGTTGATGCCCTATACTGGTTAAACTGGGGGGAAGAAAAGGCAGGAACCTCGGGGGCTGATCTACTCTGACCAATATGATGCTTCCTTATACGTGCTTGTTAAACAGTAAACAACTTGGCTGGGGCAGAGGACAAAGGGCAGCCTTGGTTCCTTTATAAGGCAACAGGTGCTCAGGCTATGGTAAGAGAGTCCCACTGAAGTGTGTGGTGTGAGGACCGCGAGGTATTCCCGAAGACTGGGGAGCCGTGACGCAGACATGGGACTGCTGACTGGGGATGGACTGTGGCCTCTGGTCGTATTCACGGCCATCTTCCTGCTGTTGGTGGACCTGATGCACCGGCGCCAGCGCTGGACTGCCCGCTACCCCCCAGGCCCCGTGTCGCTACCTCTGCTGGGCAACATGCTGCAGATGGACTTCAAGAACATACCAGATAGCATGTACAAGGTGAGGGAGATGGTGGTGGAGGGCGGCAGAGGTCATGGAACCCTTAGCAGCACAGTGGTTCCACAGACTGGTCCCCTGAGAGGAGATGTTGAAGGATTCCTAGGGAAGGGGACTGCAGGGCCAGAGGACACTCTGGACTTTTGAAGGGCAATGTTGTGATAGGGCAAAGGCCAGGTGTGTCAAGATGTACAGATTTGGGATGAGATTGATTTGGGATCAGCTGGACAGAGTGGAAGTCTAATAGGCCTCATTCTGATCCACTCAGTGGGGAGGTCCTAGGGATGGAGGAGAGATGTCAGGGTCCAGTGTAGCATGTCAATCAAGAAGCCAAAATGGGGAGTGGGGCGTGGCTGCTCTCATCTCTTGCTGCTGTGTGGTCTCAGGCACAGTGCTCCTCTCTAGGAACCTAACATCCCCCTGTGTGATGAGATGCTAAGCACCTGACCACAGGCTCCTGGCCCTGGCACAGAGACAACTAGACGATCACATCTAGTATGAGGACTTTGCTAAACATAGACAAGTTGACACCCAGCCACAAGGTACCATCTCAGGCTCAGGGGTAGAGCATTTGACCAGCTAACGTAAGGACCTGGGTTCAATAACAAGCAACACACACACACACACACACACACACACACAAAAAAAAAAAAAAAAAAAAAAAACACATCAAGGAGTCTGTGTTAAGTCTGGATCTTTAGTCTGCTGGCGATGTTGACTCATAGGTGCTCTGACTTTCCCCTTTAGCTACAGCAGCGCTATGGTGATGTGTTCAGCCTGCAGATGTCTGGGAAGCCAGTGGTTGTGATCAATGGACTGAAGGCCGTGAGGGAAGTACTGGTGAACTGTGGAGAGGACACTGCAGACCGACCATCAACAGCGATCCTTAAATATCTGGGCAGGAAGCCCAAATCTCAAGGCAAAAGATTGTGTGGGGGCAGAGACAGCGTCAGAGAAAGGCTTGGGGAACAGCGAACAGGGGAAGGATAAAGTCTAACAGGGGTGATGACATACTTGAGAATTTTAAAAGTCTGAAATCACAGGTGGGGCCTACACAAAGGGCATGAGCTGTTGTGTAAGACCAACATTTGAGGGGCCTCAAGTGAGACTGACCCAGGGAGAAAGGAACATTAGAAGCAGAGGACAACACAGCCAGGAGTTCTTGGTCACACAGAATGCTTGTCTGCAGGTGTGGTCTTTGCACGTTACGGGCCTGAGTGGAGAGAGCAGCGGAGATTCTCTGTGTCCACCATGCGCAACTTCGGCCTGGGCAAGAAATCACTGGAGGAGTGGGTGACCGAGGAGGCCAGCTGCCTCTCTGCCGCCTTTGCTGACCACGAAGGTGGGTGATGGATGAGGGGTACAGGTGGGGACACCAAGATACGAGCAGTAATTTCACTTATATGTCCACTCCCAGGGTGTCCCTTCAATCCCTACACCCTCCTGAACAAAGCCACGTGCAATGTGATTTCCTCCCTTATTTTTGCCCGTCGCTTTGAGTATGAAGACCCTTACTTCATCAAGATGTTGAAAGTAATGAATGAAAGTTTGAAAGTTGTCGCTGGCTTCATTCCTGAGGTACAGAGCTCACAGAGGTCTGCCAAGCCATTCTGATGATGTTGATCCTCCCAGAGGAATTTGGATGCAGAGGAAGTGGGGAAGGGCCTTCACCTGCAGGATGAAGGGTTGGACCTTGACAAACCAAGAGGACAGGAGGAGAGATGTGGACTAAGATCAAGGGCTCCAAGAAGGGTTAGAGTGTGTACTCATGTCTATATAGAAGTCACACAAGCCTTGAGATTACTGAGATAAAATATTGCTTCTAGAAACCAAGGGTTACAAGTGGGCCTAAGAGCTGGGTGTGAGGAGGAGGCAGGTAAAATCGGAAAAACAGGGCCTGGGTCCACTGTGGAGGAGGCTGGGAACTGAGACAGGTCCAGGTGATCACTGAGCAAGAAAGCTCCCAGGCTCCACTTAGTTGGTCGGTAGATAAAGGAGCTTACCAAGGAAGCCTGGCAACCACAGTTGGGTTCCTGGATTCATGTAAGGTTGAGAAAAATGATTCTACAAGTACTTCTCTGACTTCCACACATGCAGTGTGGCAAACAAATCATAAACAGCATAATGATGAATTAACTAGTAATTAATTAATTGGATTAGATGAAGCTCTCAGTTTTCCTCTGTGTTTGTCCCAGGTGCTGAATGCATTCCCAATCCTCTTGCGCATCCCAGCCCTGACTGACAAGGTCTTCAGAGAGCAAAAGGCAGTCATTGCCATGGTGCATGAGCTGGTGACCAAACACAAGACCACTTGGGACCCTGTGCAGCCACCCAGAGACCTGACTGATGCCTTCTTGGCTGAGATGGAGAAGGTGAGGGACCTGCAAGAGACAGAGGAAGGGGCTGTGGGCAGGGGTCCTGTGAGTTGTGTGGTCAGGCAGGACGGGGCCTGGGCATTACTCAGTGACCCAACACTTGGGTGGCCTGGAGACAATGGGACATGTTGGTGGAGCCTCCCCACTCTCTCCTTGGAACTCACCTTTTCTCCTTCAGGCCAAGGGAAAACCTGAGAGCAGCTTCACTGATGACAATCTGTACATAGTGGTGGGTGAGCTGTTTGGAGCAGGGATAGTGACCACCTCGACAACGCTGACCTGGGCTCTACTGCTCATGATCCTGTACCCAGATATACAATGTGAGCCTGCCTGTGGCTGGGGGGTGGGGACGAAAAGGAGCAAAGGCCGAGACACATTCCCCAGCTTACTTTGGACATGTGACTCCCACCACTGACTTGACCCTGACTCCCACAATAGTGATGGCTGTCTTTCTCACATGGAACCAGCCTTTTAAACCAAGGTAGAGATTCAAGTCCCTTGGGACTGATTTAGTGAGAAAATGCTGTCCCTCCAGGTCGAGTCCAGCAGGAGATTGATGAAGTCATAGGGCAGGCTCGGCGCCCAGAGATGGCAGACCAGGAACGAATGCCCTTCACCAACGCTGTGATTCACGAGGTGCAGCGCTTTGGGGCCATCGTTCCATTGACTATGCCGTTCATCACATCTCGGAGCATTGAAGTACAGGGCTTCCACATCCCCAAGGTAGGGATGGGCCCTCCTACCTCAGCATCCTGGATCCAAGGAAGGTATAGAAAAGACCTAAACTACCACATCCTGATGTCCATCATAACTGACAGGTCGGACCTGGGTGCATGTACACTGCAGACACTGTCCCCAGAGTCCCCAGAGAAGGGAGATGACAAATGAAAACAGGCACCTGGGAACTTTGGGAACCAGTGTAAACAGGAACAGGCGGTGGTCTGGGCCCCCGTGGAAGGTGTGTTATGGAGTCTTTCCATAGAATCAGCGAAGGTGCTGAGAAGCTTCTAGAACTAAGGTTCCATGACAGAGTCAGGTGTGTGCAGGTAGAGGCTGTGCATATGAACTTAGTGACCAGGGTCGTAGTGTCCCATCCTAGTCTGTGTTCACACCATGTGTCTCCTGCCAGGGGACAAGACTCATTGCCAACCTGTTCTCGGTGATGAAGGATGAGAGAGCCTGGGAGAAGCCTCTCCACTTCCACCCAGAACACTTCCTGGACTCCCAGGGCCGTTTTGTGAAGCCTGAGGCCTTTGTGCCATTCTCAGCAGGTGTGTGAGGGGAGGGCCTGGCATTCTGCCCCTTTCCAGGGTCACCTGGAGCCAGGATAAGGATCACACTTCCTGTCCCCTTTCCCAGGGTGGATTGGAGGGTGGAGTGAGGTCCCCAGACCAACTAACCTCTGCTCCCCAACCCCACAGGCCGCCGCGCATGCCTCGGGGAGCCACTGGCCCGCATGGAGCTCTTCCTCTTCTTCACCTGCCTCCTGCAGAGATTTAGTTTTTCGATCCCTGCTGGACAGCCCCGGCCCAGTGATCGCGCTGTCTTTGGCACTCTGACAGCACCATCCCCCTACCAGCTCTGTGCAGTGGTCCGCTAGTCGGAGCTCCAATTCCAGTGATGTCCCAAACTCAGGTCCTCATCTACAATAAACCAGTCCCGTGGCATCCCTTTGGTTCCTACCATCCAGCCCCTATCCCATGTGTGTACGTGTCCTCACATAGCAGTCTGTAGTCACCACCAAGTGCCTCAGCCCCCATTACTAGAAAACATGAATACTATGAGAAAATGCTGTACTGAGAGAACGGCAGTGGCCAGGCCTGCACTAGAGCCTTTGGGAGACTGAGGCAGGAAGAGTGATTGATGTTCAAGACCCACACAGAAGGACAGAGCGTACAAGGGCAGCCTGGACAGCTTGGTAAGACCCTGTCTCAACAAAACAAAACAGGACACCCGGAAGATTGTAAGGAAGGGAGGGAAGTCAGAGGGAAGCGAAGGAAACCACCAGAGTTAAACCAAGAAGAGAGCAGCAGCTTGTGCAGACCTATAAACAGGGAAAATGAATCAGTCATACAAACCTCCTGACTACAACAAGCCCAGGTCCAAATGCATTCACGTGAGAAGTCTGCTAGACTTTCAAAGATGATCTACCATCAATACTTCTTATATTATTCAAAAAGATAGAAGCAGAGGGAGAACTCCCAAACTCCATCTAAGAAGCCAGTAGCACTGTAATACCAACACCATAGAAAGACACAACAAAAAGAAAACAATAGGCCCATGTCCTTAATGCACACACACGCAAAGATTCTCAACACAGTGCTCAGAAACCACATACAGACACACATCTGAAAGGCCATCCACCGTGATCAAGTTGACTTTATTCCGGAGATGCAGGTATTGTTCAATATACAGAAGTCGATAAATGTAATAAATTATATATATAGACGTAAAGTCAAAAATCACTTGGTCACCTCAATAGATGTAGAAAAAGGTCTTTGAGAAAATGCAGCACACATTCATGTGAAAATTCCCAAAGGGAACTGGGCTGGAGGGAACATACCTTAACATAATGAAAGCTATGTATAAAAAACTCCCAGCTTACATCACTCTAAATGGAGGAAAACTGGAAGCGTTCCCATTAAAATCAAGACCCACAGGGTGGAGAGATGCATCAGTGGTTAAGAGTACTAACTACTCTTGCAGAGAACCCGTGTTTGAATCCTAGCACCCACAAGGCAACTTAACAACCGTCCTAACTCCAGTTCCAGGGAATCTGACACCCTCTTCTGACCTCCATGTGCATTGCATGACACAGGCGTACCTACCTACATGCAGGCAATATACTCAAAAAACATAAAATAAAAATAATAAGTAAAACAAAAAAAAATCAGAAGTCACACAAAGCTGTCTGCTATCTCCGCTCTTTTTCAATATAGTGCTTGAAACTCTTTCTAGAGCAATAAGACAAGAGAAGGAAATGAAAGGAGTTCTCATTGGAAAAGAAGAGGTCAAACTATCACTATTAGGAGATGGTATGATGTTATACATAAGAGATGCTAATGCTACAAGAAAACTTCTAGAAATGACTGATAGTTTCAGTGAAGTGGAAATAGCAGTAGACTTCCTATATACCAATAAGAAGCAAGGAGAAAAAGCATTCAAGGAAACCTCCCATTCACAAAAACCTCAAAAAATATTTCGGAATAAACCTAACCAAAGCCATTAAAGATCTCTACAATGAAAATTTCAAACCTTTTTTTTTTTTTTGGTCTTTTTGAGGCAGGGTCTCACTGTAGTCCCAGCTGTCCCTGAACCCACTTTATGGACCAGGCTGGCCTTGAACACAGAGATCCACCTGAGTCTGCCTCCCAAGTGCTGGGAGTAAAGACGTGCACCACCACGCCCACCAGGAAACCTTCAAATCTTTAAAGAAAGAGATAGAGGAAGAGGAGATAGAAGGACCTACCATGGAGGTAACACGCACTCAGAAAAACAAGCAGCACATGTCCTCTCTCATTTGCGGATCTTAACACCAAATTCTTAAATGTGAGTATATATCCTGACCACAGGTGCCAGGACAATGGAAGGGAACCATGGAGGAGAAGGGAAAGAAACAGTCCAAATCAGTAGTATTGTAGGAAACAGATGTTACCAAGGGGAAAACAGGGTTATTCAACAGGAGAGGAGGAGGGAAGGACATATAAGCAACCATGGGGGTAAAGGGGAAGAACGAGCTCCAGAGAGGGGGATAATAGGAGACAGGTATTATCAGGGGAAAATGGGGATGCTTTAACAATGGTGGAGGAGGGACATTAGACAGGAAGAAAGAGAAGGGCATTAAAGTTTAGGTGGTATAAAAAGCCAGAGGGAATTGTATTCAACTCACCTCCCCCCAAAACACACATACACTATCAGAACTGCAGGCTACATAACGAGAAATAGGGCCACTCCCTTTGAGTTGTTGGTCAGGGTAGTCCAAGACACTCTCCAAATAACAGAGACTACTTCCACAGCCCTTGACTGCCTCCCAGAGCTTAAAAATAAGACCCTATGGCTGAAAGTGCATGTGTATAGCTGCAGGCTACATAACAAGAAATAGGGCCACTCCCTTTGAGTTGTTGATGTGGGTAGTCCAAGACACTCCCCAAACAGCAGAGACTACCTCCACAGCCCTTGATTGCCTCCCAGAGCTTCAAGATAAGACCCTACAGCTGAAGACAGGATATAGTTAGGACACAGGACACGGAGCAATGGGGCTGGAACTGACCCTGAAGCCTCCTCCCTGACCACTAGCCCTCATAGTTCTAGAGGTTACTATGTAAGCTGCTAAGGGAAAAAAATCAATCAACGGGCCAACCCCAGGTTTAAAGGCCAATAACCACAACAACTGGCACAGCAAACTATATCAGAGGCATTTCTATCTTGAAGCTTGGCCTAATTTGTTTCTCTACTGCTGTGATAAAACACTCTGACCAATACCAACTTGGGGAGGAAAGGGTTTATTTTATCTTACATCTCCCAGGTCACAGTTCATCAGGGAGCCCAAGGGAGGAACTCAGAGCAGGAACTGGAGCAGGAGCTGAAGCACAGACCATGGAGGAATGCTGCTTACAGACTTGCTCCCCTAGCCCCTGCTCAGACTGCTTTCTTATGCAACACAGGCCCACCTCCCAGGGGTGGCACCACCCACGGTGGGCCAGGCCCTCCCACATCATTCATCAATCAAGGAGATGCTCCACAGACATGGCCACAGGCCAGCCCTATGGAGGAAATTCCCCAATTGAGGCTCCCTCTACCCAGTTGTGTCAAGTTGGCACTAAAGCTATCCAGCACAATGGTAATCAACAGCTTTCTAATTGGACTTAAAGTTCTCTCTGATTAAAACCACTTTGAGATTTGATCTCACCTCACTCAGAATGACAAAAACAACCAACAACACATGCTGGTGAGGATGTGCAGAGAGGGGAACGCTTATCCACTGCTGGTGGAAGTGCAAACTGGTGCAGCCACAATGGAAATCAATGTGGAGACTCTTCAAAAAGCTCAAAATTGATGTAGTTTATGGTCCCGTCATAGCACTCTTGGGCTTATACCCAGAGAACTCTACCCCACTACAGTAATAACAGTCCAGCCATGTCCATTACTGTGCTCGTCACAAGAGCCAGAAGTTGGAAACAACCTAGATGCCCATCAACTGACGACTGTATAATGGAGATGTGGTACATATGAACAATGAAATATTAGTTGGCTATTAGAAATTTAATTATGGGTCTGGAGAGATGACTCAGCAGTTAAGAGCACTGGCTGTTCTTACACAGGACCTGGGTTCAATTCTTAGCACTCACATGGCAAATTATTGTATTTTATATCTTATAGGGTTTATACTGAGTACAATATTTTATAACTGTAATAATTTAATTGTAAACCTAAAAATGTACAGATAATTTTGTAAGAGATGCGTCCTATCTCAGAAAATTGTTACTGAATATGTCAATGCTGATGTAATGAAATGCTTCTAAGTATATGGTTATTAAATAATTTAAAAAATATTGTATTAAACTGACTCCTAGTGACTTATTGTTATACCCGTAGATTAACACATCACTCAACTCTCACTAGAGAATTTTCCTTATGCAGCAGATGGTGATTAACACAGAAACCCACCACTGGCCAATGTACAGAGAACAAGAGGCTACAGAGTGCTTATCCCTGAATAGGCACCTAGTCCCATTTCCCAGTTCTCTCTCTCTCTCTCTCATTCTCACTATCCATCTCTCCCTCTCTTTGCTTCTTGTGTGTATTTGAAGATGTAAGTGAACAGCTTTCTGTACCAACAACCCAACAACCTCCGTCATCATGCCTCCGTGCCAAGATGGACTCTCCTCTCTCCAGAAACAAAACCCCAAATAAACGTAAAAAGAAATCATCATATCTCAACAACTTATCAACTTGACACACACACAATCATGATGTTCAAGACATAAACTTCCACCTCTTATCCTCAAAGGTTCAAGTATATGTCATAAGGAAAATGTCTTCAAAGATTCAAGAAAAATGGGAATCTTCAAAGGTTCCCGGCTTTAACAGTTTCAACACTGTTTGAAAGTCAAGGTTTCATGTAAGACTCAAGGCAAGCTCTTACTTTTCAACTCCTTAAAATAAAAACAAGTCACATAGTTGCTATGACATAGAACAGGATGAAACGTCCCACTCCAAAAAGGAATGATTGTGGCCTAGCAAGGAATGACCAGACTTAGACATGATGAAAGTCAGCAGGGCAAACTCAAATTCTGCAAGGCACCGGCTGGCATCTGGCTTATGGTGGAATCATCATGACTCCAAAGGGCTTGGGAAGCCACGTCCTTTTAGGGCTACTGCCTGTATGTAACACACACTTCTCAGTGGAGTCGGCTCCAGGCCGCAACTACAACTTCCCTTAGCAAATGTCCCACGATCCTGGCATGTCCGACATGCTGAGCTCTCACTGCAGCATGGACCTCACCTTCACAGCTTCACACAGCGCATTCTCTTCGTGAGGACTCAGACCCTTCACACGCTGCCTGACCAGATCAGCTCAACAGAACTATGGTGCAAGTCTCCACAGTCCCTTCAATGCTGTATCTTAAATGCCTGCAAAAGAGTACCATGTGGACGGTGTGACCAGGTACTGATTCCAGATCACAAGGATTCTTGGTCCACTTGGACCACAGTGGCATCAGACTATGAAGGCTGACCCAGGAAAACACTTCCCTAGGCAGTTACTTTCAAGGAACAGGGAGCCTCTTCAGCATCATCCTAAGTTACACCCTCTCTTCCCATGTGAATTTGCCCTCATACGGTAAACCCTTAAAGGTGTTCTCCGCCTCGGGCATTGCTTCTCTTGTCTCTAATTCCATATGTACTGACTGATCACAGTGCAGCCATGGCCTCATGCCAGAGGGATGCAGTAACCACTGAGGGATGAAAAGTTCACACCCCACCCCCACCCCTTAGTCTTACTTCGTCCAAACCAAGCTTTGAGAAGGCAGCACTCTCAGTCACGGTCATTCTAGGGAGTCACACTGCACAGTGACTCTGCCATCACTTCCCACTAAGGAGCAGGGAGAAGACTCAGACTTCGATATTGCTGCTAGACTCGCTGTGGGGTTCACACAGTGCAACAATGCAGAATGAACCCAGCAGAGGTAAAGCACCCACAGGGCAGAGTCCTGCAGAGTCACTCTCGGGTTCCTGGTGTCCTCTTCCAGTGGAGTCCAAAGGACAGTCGTTAAGTATCTATTGGCACATGTATAGAGTAGTATTGCCAATCGGAGATCACCCTGTCCCATGATAGTCAGAAACCGAGTTCCAGCTTGATTTTTTGGACAGTTGAGCACTTGTGCACTTGAGATTAACTCGTAGAAGCCGGATGCCGTTGTGTGTCTGACACCCCAAACCTGCTGATACACTTTCCCTCACTGGGCTCATTAGCACAACGGCAGGTAAATCAGGCCTGACTTGGCACACCCCACGGTGGGGGCCAGCACCCAGTCATCACCGCTCCTTCAATTTCATGACTTTACACACGGCACTCCTGAAAGGTGGGAAACTGAGGGAGGGCAGGAAATGTGCCAGTATTAACATACACAGTTAGCCATCAGGCATCAGAAGATGCCCTGGGAGTGCCCCATGTCGGCCCAGGGGGCAGCCACCCTCCTGAGCCTCTCAGTGAGCAGAGCACAGCTGTCCCCCTCCCCTCACCCCTGAACCATGTGGAGTTTCCTTTCAGGCCTGGATTGAGCTAGAAGAAACCATTATGCACCCCAACCTAGCGTGCCACCCTTCCATTACTGGATTCAGTAGGGCCAACAGGCATGGAGAGGCAGGGTGTGAGGCCGGGGGCTGCATGCCAGCACCAGTCAGTGAGACATGCCCAATCACTGGGACAAAGGTGGGCAGAGGGGAAGGAGGCAGCATGGGAAACAGGGGAAGAGAACAGCTCCTAGTCCTGGCTCTCCTGCTGCACTGTGTGGTCCTGAGCTCCTCTCCAACACCCTTCAGCCACACCACACAACATCACAGGGATCCCCGCCTGGATTCTGTGGCAGCCCTTCAGTCTTTGATTTTATGTTTGGATCTCCAGCAAGGACAGGGACCTCTGACTGGTGAGCCTAGCAAGGAGCACTGAGTAGCCTGTCAGTCCACTGGTCCTTAAGGCCAATAGCTGGAAGGCTCCGGGCTCCTCTTCCTGCTTCCTCATGGCTGGCCCATCCTAACCATGGCCTCTGGGCCGGAGACAACACCATCCTTCATCCCTGGTAAGAAGAATGTTGGGAGAGGACTTGACCCAGCAAGGAAAAGAGTAAATGAAGGACAGCGGCCTCCAGGGGACAGTACCTGGTCTGACCTGCCAGCCTCCCTCTGATTCTCTGACAGTAAGAGGCTGAACATTTCCCAGCACTCTCATCCACATCTGCGGGGACCCGGACTGCGAGTTCTGCATGATCAATTGAGTGACTTCAGACCTATACCCAAACTTCCATGTCCTCCAGCTGCCTCCCTCTCTCAGGCCCTCACTCACACACAGACATTGAGTGGCACTGGTTGTGAGAAAAAGGTTTCTTGGCCTTAAATTTCAGTCAGGCCCTCAGGCCCTGCCAAAAAGTGGCCCATGAGGTTTCCAGGAAAGTCTTATTCCAGTCTAAGGCAATGTCTTCAAGGCCCTCAAAGCTCTACCTACATGGCATGTCAACTGACTGTCCCTTCCGAACCTCATGGCCATGAAGTTGGAGCAGGGGTCACTGGACGTCTGCTTTCCATGTTTCCTGAGCCCAGCATGACATGGCTGCTGTGCACAGCTTCTGTGGAGCTCGGCTTCCAGATGCTGACGCCCTCCCCTGGTTAAACTGGGAGGGCAGAAAAGGCAGGAACTTCGGAATCTGATCTACTCTGACCACTGTGCCCCTTCCCTACTCCACTGCTGAAACAGTAAACACATGGACTTGGCTGGGGGCAGAGGACAAAGGGCAGCCTTGGTTCCTTTATAAGGCAACAGGTGCTCAGGCTATGGTAAGAGAGTCCGACTGAAGTGTGTGGTGTGAGGACCGCGAGGTATTCCCGAAGACTGGGGAGCCGTGACGCAGACATGGGACTGCTGACTGGGGACGGACTGTGGCCTCTGGTCGTATTCACGGCCATCTTCCTGCTGTTGGTGGACCTGATGCACCGGCGCCAGCGCTGGACTGCCCGCTACCCCCCAGGCCCCGTGGCACTACCTCTGCTGGGCAACATGCTGCAGATGGACTTCAAGAACATACCAGATAGCATGTACAAGGTGAGGGAGATGGTGGTGGAGGGCGGCAGAGGTCATGGAACCCTTAGCAGCACAGTGGTTCCACAGACTGGTCCCCTGAGAGGAGATGTTGAAGGCTTCCTGGGGGAGGGCACTGCACGGCCAGAAGACACTCTGGAGTTTTGAAGGGTAATGTTGTGATAGGGCAAAGGCCAGGTGTGCCAAGATGTACAGATTTGGGATGAGATTGATTTGGGATCAGCTGGACAGAGCGGAAGTCTAATAGGCCTCATTCTGATCCACTCAGTAGTGAGGTCCTAGGGATGGAGGAGAGATGTCAGGGTCCAGTGTAGCATGTCAATCAAGAAGCCAAAATAGGGAGAGGGGCGTGGCTGCTCTCATCTCTTGCGGCTCTGTGGTCTCGGGCACAGTGCATTTCTCAAGGAACCTGAGTTCCCCTGTGTGATGAGATGCTAAGCACCTGACCACAGACCTGGCCCTGGCACATACTACATTTAGTATGAGGACTTTGTTAAACTTAGTCCAATTGACAACCAACCACAAGGCACCACCTCAGACTTGGTGGTAAAGCATTTGACCAGCTAATGTGAGGACCTGGGTTCAATAACAAGCAATACACACACACACACACACACACACACACACCACATCAGGGCTTGTGTGTTAAGTCTGGATCTTTAGGATGCTGGCGATGTTGCCTCATAGGTGCTCTGACTTTCCCCTTTAGCTGCAGCAGCGCTACGGTGATGTGTTCAGCCTATTGATGTCTGGGAAGCCAGTGGTCGTGATCAATGGACTGAAGGCCGTGCGGGAAGTACTGGTGAACTGTGGAGAGGACGCTGCAGACCGACCAACAGTACCTGTCCTTGAACATATGGGCAGGAAGCCCAAATCCCAAGGCAAAGATTGTGTGGGGGCAGAGATGGCATCAGAGAACAGACGAAGGATAAAGTCTATCAGGGGTGATGATGCAGTTGAGAAATTTAAAATTCTGAAATCACAGGTGGGGCCTACACAAAGGGCATGAGCTGTTGTGAGGGACCAACATTTGAGGGGCCTCAGGTGAGACTGACCCAGGGAGAAAGGAACATTAGAAGCAGAGGACAACATGGCCAGGAGTTCTTGGTCACACAGAATGCTTGTCTGCAGGTGTGGTCTTTGCACGTTACGGGCCTGAGTGGAGAGAGCAGCGGAGATTCTCTGTGTCCACCATGCGCAACTTCGGCCTGGGCAAGAAATCACTGGAGGAGTGGGTGACCGAGGAGGCCGGCTGCCTCTGTGCCGCCTTCACCAATCAGGCCGGTGGGTTGTGGGTGAAGCATGCAGGTGGGGAAAGGAAGACAAGAGCACTATCTTGATTTGCATCTCCAATCCCAGGGCATCCCTTCAAACCCAACACCCTCCTGAACAAAGCCACGTGCAATGTGATTGCATCCCTCGTTTATGCCCGTCGCTTTGACTATGATGACCCTTTCCTCAATAAGATGCTGAAAACATTAGAAGAAAGTATGGGACAGAACACTGGCCTCATTCCTGAGGTATGAGCTCAGGGGAGTCTACAGGGCCACCTCTCTGCTGTTGATCCTCCCAGAAAGAAATCAGCAAGAGCGATGGGGAGAGCGCCCTCTGGGGGAGCCAACTGCAAAACACAAGCCTTGGGATTAACAAACCTCCAAGAACAGCTCTAGGAAGGGTTAGAGCATGTACTCATGTCTGCATAGAAGTCACACAGCCTGTGAGATCACTGACATAAAATATTGCTTCTAAAATCCAAGGGATACAAGAGAGCCTGAGGGCTGGGTGTGAGGAGGAGGCAGGTGAAATGGGAAAAGCAGGGCCTGGCTCCATTGTGGAGGAGGCTGGGAACTGAGACAGGTCCAGGTGATCACTGAGTGAGAGAGTACCCGGGGCCCACTTAGTTGGCCAGTGGGTAAAGGAGCTTACCAAGGAATCCTGGCAACCAGACTTGGATCCCTGACCCATGTAAGATAGAACTGACTCGACAAGTTCTCCTCTGACTTCCACACATGCATCTAGACACACAAATCATAAACATCATAATGATGAATTAACTAGTAATTAATTAATTAGATTAGATGAAGCTCCCAGTTTTCCTCTGTGTTTGTCCCAGGTGCTGAATGCATTCCCAATCCTCCTGCGCATCCCATCCCTGACTGACAAGGTCTTCAGAGAGCAGAAGGTAGTCATGGACATGATAGATGAGCTGGTGAATGAACACAAGATGACCCGGGACCCAGCCCAGCCACCCAGAGACCTGACTGATGCCTTCTTGGCTGAGATGGAGAAGGTGAGGGACCTGCAAGAGACAGAGGAAGGGGCTGTGGGCAGGGGTCGTGTGAGTTGTGTGGTCAGGCAGGACGGGGCCTGGGCATTACTCAGTGACCCAGCACTTGGGTGGCCTGGAGACAATGGGACATGTTGGTGGAGCCTCCCCACTCTCTCCTTGGAACTCACCTTTTCTCCTTCAGGCCAAGGGAAAACCTGAGAGCAGCTTCACTGATGAGAATCTGTACATAGTGGTGAGTGAGCTGTTTGGAGCAGGGATACTGACCACCTCGACAACACTGACCTGGGCTCTGCTGCTCATGATCCTGTACCCAGATATACAACGTGAGTCTGGTTATGGACAGGATGCTGAGGGGGAGGAAATGGAGCAAAGGCTGAGACACACTCAGCTTCCTTTGGACACCTGTGACTCCCACCACTGACTTGACCCTGACTCCCATAATAGTGATGGCTGTCTTTCTCACATGGAACTGGCCTTTAAAACCAAGGTAGAGATTCAAATCCCCTGGGACTGATTTGGTGAGAAAATGCTGTCCCTCCAGGTCGAGTCCAGCAGGAGATTGATGAAGTCATAGGGCAGGCTCGGCGCCCAGAGATGGCAGACCAGGAGCGAATGCCTTTCACCAACGCTGTGATTCACGAGGTGCAGCGCTTTGGGGCCGTGGCCCCATTGACTCTGCCATTCATCACATCTCGGAGCATTGAAGTACAGGGCTTCCACATCCCCAAGGTAGGGATGGGCCCTCCTACCTCAGTATGGCCCAAACCAAGGAAGGTATAGAAAAGACCTAAACTACAACATCCTGATATCCAACATAACTGACAGGTCCTGACCTAGCTGTGTGTGCACTGCAGACACTGTCCACTGTCTAGGGACTTAGGGAATCACTGTACACAGGGACAGGCCTGGCTGTTTTGACACCTATGGAAGGTGTGTTACAGGACCTTGTCAAAGAATCAGCGAAGGTCCTGAGAAGCTTCTAGAACTAAAGTTCCGTGAAATAGTCAGGTGTGTTCAGGTAGAGGCTGTGCATATGAACTTAGTGACCAGGGTCGTGGGGTCCCATCCTAGTCCGTGTTCACACCATGTGTCTCCTGCCAGGGTACAAGACTCATCGCCAACCTGTCCTCGGTGATGAAAGATGAGAGAGCCTGGGAGAAGCCTCTCCACTTCCACCCAGAACACTTCCTGGACCCCCAGGGCCATTTTGTGAAGCCTGAGGCCTTTGTGCCATTCTCAGCAGGTGTGTGAGGGGAGGGCCTGGCGTTCTGCCCCTTTCCAGGGTCACCTGGAGCCAGGATCAGGATCATGCTTCCTGTCCCCTTCCCTAGGGTTGCTGGAGGGTGGAGAGAGGCCCCCAGACCTCCCAACCTCTGTTCATACCCACAGGCCGCCGCGCATGCCTCGGGGAGCCGCTGGCCCGCATGGAGCTCTTCCTCTTCTTCACCTGCCTCCTGCAGAGATTTAGCTTCTCGGTCCCTGCTGGACAGCCCCGGCCCAGTGGCCACAGAGTCTCTGGCACTCTGACAGCACCATCCCCCTACCAGCTCTGTGCAGTGGTCCGCCCGTCAGAACTCTAATTCCAGTGATGTCCCAAACTCAGGTCCTCATCCACAATAAACCAGTCCCGTGGCATCCCTTTGGTTCCTACCATCCAGCCCCTATCCCATGTGCGTACGTGTCCTCACATAGCAGTCTGTAGTCACCACCAAGTGCCTCAGCCCCCATTACTAGAAAACATGAATACTATGAGAAAATGCTGTACTGAGAGAACGGCAGTGGCCAGGCCTGCACTAGAGCCTTTGGGAGACTGAGGCAGGAAGAGTGATGTTCAAGCCCAGCACAGAAGGACAGAGCGTACAAGGGCAGCCTGGACAGCTTGGTAAGACCCTGTCTCAACAAAACAAGACACCCGGAAGATTGTAAGGAAGGGAGGGAAGTCAGAGGGAAGCGAGGGAAACCACCAGAGTTAAACCACGAAGAGAGCAGCAGCTTGTGCAGACCTATAAACAGGGAAAATGAAACAGTCATACAAACCTCCTGACTACAGCAAGCCCAGGTCCAAGTGCATTCACGTGAGAAGTCTGCTAGACTTTCAAAGATGATCTACCATCAATACTTCTTATATTATTCAAAAAGATAGAAGCAGAGGGAGAACTCCCAAACTCCGTCTAAGAAGCCAGTAGCACTCTAATACCAACACCATAGAAAGACACAACAAAAAGAAAACAATAGGCCCATGTCCTTAATGCACACACATGCAAAGATTCTCAACACAGTGCTCAGAAACCACATACAGACACACATCTGAAAGGCCATCCACCGTGATCAAGTTGACTTTATTCCAGAGATGCAGGTATTGTTCAATATACAGAAGTCGATAAATGTAATAAATTATATATATAGACGTAAAGACAAAAATCACTTGGTCAACTCAATAGATGTAGAAAAAGGTCTTAGAAAATGCAGCACACATTCATGTGAAAATTCCCAGAGGGAACTGGACTGGAGGGAACATACCTTAACATAATGAAAGCTATGTATAAAAAACTCCCAGCTTACATCACTCTAAATAGAGGAAAACTGGAAGCGTTCCCATTAAAATCAAGACCCACAGGGTGGAGAGATGCATCAGTGGTTAAGAGTACTAACTACTCTTGCAGAGAACCCGTGTTCAATTCCCAGCACACACAAGGCCACTAACAACCGTCCTAACTCCAGTTCCATGGAATCTGACTCCCTCTTCTGACTTCCACGTGCATTGCATGGGTGTACCTACCCACATGCAGGCAATATACTCATAAAACATAAAATAAAAATAATAAGTAAAATTTTTTTAAAAAACCAGAAGTCACACAAAGCTGTCCACTATCTCCGCTCTTTTTCAATATAGTGCTTAAAACTCTTTCTAGAGCAATAAGACAAGGGAAGGAAATGAAAGGAGTTCTAATTGGAAAAGAAGAGGTAAATTATCACTATTAGGAGATGGTATGATATTATACATAACAGATCCCAAAACTGTTACAAGAAAACTTCAAGAAAAGATTGATATTTTCAGTTAAGTGACACATTACAGTAGACTTTGTATATACCAATAAGAAACAATCAGAAAAACCATTAAGGAAACCTTCCATTCAGAATAACCTCACAAAAATATTTAAGAATAAACCTAACCAAAGATATTAAAGATCTCTACAATGAAAATTTCAAATCTTTTTTATTTTTTGGTCTTTTTGAGACAGGGTCTCCCCATAGTCCCAGCTGGTATTGAACTCACTATGTAGATCAGGCTGGCTTGAACTCACAGAGATCCACCTGTGTCTGCCTCCAGAGTGCTGGGAGCAAAGACATGCTCTACCAGGCCCACCAGGAAACTTTGAAATATTTAAAGAAAGAGATAGAGGAAGAGGAGATAGAAGGACCTACCATGTGAGGTAACACGCACTCAGAAAAACAAGCAGCACATGTTCTCTCTCATTTGCGGATCTTAACACCAAATTCTTAAATGTGAGTATATATCCTGACCACAGGCGCCAGGACAATGGGAAGGAACCATGGAGGAGAAGGGAAAGAAACAGTCCAAACAGTGGGATTGTAGGAAACAGATGTTACCAAGGGGAAAATGGGGTTATTCAACAGGAGAGGAGGAGGGAAGGACATATAAGCAACCATGGGGGTAAAGGGGAAGAACGAGCTCCAGAGAGGGGGATAATAGGAGACAGGTATTATCAGGGGAAAATGGGGATGCTTTAACAATGGTGGAGGAGGGACATTAGACAGGAAGAAAGAGAAGGGCATTAAAGTTTAGGTGGTATAAAAAGCCAGAGGGAATTGTATTCAACTCACCTCCCCCCAAAACACACATACACTATCAGAACTGCAGGCTACATAACGAGAAATAGGGCCACTCCCTTTGAGTTGTTGGTCAGGGTAGTCCAAGACACTCTCCAAATAACAGAGACTACTTCCACAGCCCTTGACTGCCTCCCAGAGCTTAAAAATAAGACCCTATGGCTGAAGACAGGATATAATTAGGACACAGGACTTGGAGCAATGGAGCTGGAACTGACCTGGGAGCCTCCTCCCTGACCACTAGCTCTCATAGTTCTAAAGGATTCTATGCAAGTTGCTAACGGAAAAATCAATCAATGGTCCAACTCCAGGTTTAAAGCCTAATAACCACAACTGGCAGAGAAAACTCTATCAGTGGCACTTTTATCTTGAAGGTTGTCCTCGTTTGTCTCTCCATTGCTGTGACAAAACACTCTGACCAATACCAACTTGGGGAGGAAATGGTCTATTTTATCTTACATCTCCGGAGTCACACTTCATCACTGAAGGAGCCCAAGGTAAGAGCTCAGGGCAGGAACCTGGAGCAGGAGCTGGAGCACAGGCCATGGAGGAATGCTGCTTACTGACTTGCTCTCCTGGCCTCTGTTCAGCCTGCTTTCTTATGCAACACAGGCCCACCTGCCCAGGGGTGGCACCACCCCCAGAGGGCTGAGTCCTCACACATCACTCATAAATCAAGAAGCTGCCCCATAGACATGGCCACATGCCAGTCATATGGAGGCAATTCCCCAACTGAGGCTCCGTCAACCCAGCTACGTCAAGTTGGCACTAAAGGTATACAGCACAATGGTAATCAACAGCTATCTAATTGGACTTAGAGCTCTCTCAGTTGGAGGGAATTCATTTGTTGCACTATAAACATAGCCACAGACACATGCCTGGAGGGGTCATGGATTCTAGAGAAAACGCTACAGGTGCCATATCCCTAGATAAATGTAATTTCTTACTGTCTGCTAAATATGGATCCTTATATCAACAGACAAATATAGCACTCACCACTCCTCAGGTTTTTTGTTTTTTTGGCAACAGATGGAGACTATTAGAGAGTTCCACAGCTGGTCAAATACAGAGAACACGTCTGTGAGATGCCCAGCCCTAAGTGACACGTCTACAAGGGAACAGTGGGTAGAGAGAATACCAATGCATCACTTAACTCTCACTAGTGAAGTTTCTTCAGGAAACAGAGGGCAATTGACACTGGCCACAACTGGCAAAAGCATAAAGAAAAAGAGACTGTGGACTGTGTGTCCCTGGACAGGACTCCTGTATTAATTTTCACCCACCCAGGACTCAGGGACCATTGTGGTAAAGGGGGCAGAAAGATCATAAGAGCCAGGGTCGGTGTATGATCATAAGGGAACAAGCTTTTCCAGCCCCCTGGGAACTTGCTCATATGAACTTGCAACAATGCTGGCAGCATGCACAAGACCCATGCAAACTAAGTAAGACAAAAACCCATAACTGAACTAGAGACGTGGGCAGTAGACCCCAACCTTAGCCGAGGAGTATTGGCAGCTGATGACTGCTGGGAGTGACTCTAAATAGACCGACTAGACTCCAGTGGATGAATTCACACCGAGGGAAATCTAGGTACACAAACTTGACTCAATAGGCCTTGACATATATGACGGATGCATAAAATATGGTAGGGGGTTTGGGGAGGGGCAGATGGGGGAGAGGGTATGAATAAGTTTAAGATATATTGCCTGGCCAAGTAGGAGCTCTGAAGCTTGGCTTCCCAGGCTGGCTCCACCACAGGGAGGTGGGGCGTCATGGCAACAAGAAAGGCAGGCTTGCAGCTGGAGACAGAGATGAAGATCTAGGCTGCAGGTCTGAGTGCCAGTGGGAGTGGACCCCCAAGCTCTTCAAGCATCTGTCGACCAAGCCCATCACCAAGGATGACATGACTGAACTTCTCCTGGGGAGTCGAAGCTAGAGCAGCACTTGAAGTAGAAACCCCTGCGGCAGGGAGCTAGTCCCCTCAAAGCCCAGCAGACCAAAGTGTTGAAGCATCTGACTGCTGCCATGGACAGAGGGAACCTCAAATCAGAACTCCTACAAGAATCCAATCTGATCATGGCCAAGTTGAGGCTCCAGATGAGTGTGGAAGGCTACGCTACCAAAGATGAAAGGTCATCAGAGGAGAGTCTTGAAGAGGACTTTGCCCTTGTGCATTTATAATAAGGTTCCTCAAAAATATCACAAGTCCACAGCCATCTGGATAATATTAACAGTAGTAATGATGCTGATGGTAATAATGGCGGCGGCGGCAGTTGCTGCCGCTGCTCATGCTGGAAGGACTCAAGTGACTCAAAGGAAGGCCTTCATGAGCTTCTGCAGCACGGCCATGGCGGCCTCCTGCCCAGTGGAGCACACTAGTGGGTGCCTCACCACTCAGCAGCCAAGAAATGACTGGGGATCTGCCTGGTGGTCAGGAGCAGAACCCAGGCACCTGGCCATCTTGGGCCGGTCCCCTCCATCCTAAGGATTATATCTGAAAGATTTTAAGCAGAGGACCAAAATCTTAGCCAGCCAAATGAAGTAGCTTTGTTCCAGGGGATCCAATGCCCTCTTCTGATCTCCGTGGGCATTGCAGGATATGAGTGCATTTATATACATACAAAAGAAAAGAAAAAAAAAAACCCACTGTTTGAGAGCCTGAGAATTAAGGAAAGGAAGAGATGTAGGCTGTGGTTCCCTCCCATAAGCTGGAGTTTTGGTCCCTTCCCATGAGCTGGAGCTGTGGTCCTCTCCTGTAAGCTGGAGTGTCCTCTCCTGAGAGCTTCAGCTGTGATTCC